AGCCCCCCCTCGACCGGCGGAGAGCCCCCCTCAACCAGGGGACAGCCCCCCTCGACCGGCAGACAGCCCCCCTCGACCGGCGGAGAGCCCCCCTCAAGAGGCAGTGGCTCCCTGTCACAGACAGAGCCCTCAGAGGTAGAGGGTTTCTGCACAGATGGGGTACCTGGTCACCTCTGGGAGCCTGCCAAGCCTGAGGCTCCACGACAGAAGCCAGCGTTCGGTTAAGAGCCACCCAGCTTCAGAATCGTGCCTCGAACCACAAGCCATCCAAACTGACACGAGGAATACGATTCCAGAAGGCACCCCGGCCTCCTGTGTGCCAGGGCCAGGGGCCTGGATGCGAGTGTCTAGGGCGGGGGGGCGGGGGTGCCGACACGGTCACGTGTCTGCGCCAAGTGCACAGCAGCTGGTGTGGGAAGTGGTGAGCACGTCCTTCACACAAGCCTCTGCCTCCGCCCCACGGAGGGGCGAGCCACCCCCGCCCCCCGCTTCCCGCAGATGAGCAGCAGCTGGTCTCCCCACCCCCGCAGGTGCTCCCGGCGCTGCCCCCTCAGCTGCCCACCCCCCTCCTGCTGCGCCCGGACCCAAACCAGAGCATTACAGAACGAGGAGGCTTAGGAGCCCCACTTGACAGATGGGGACACCAAGGCCCAAGACCACAGAGCAAAGGAAGAGTCCCAAGGGCTTGGACACCGGACATCCTGCATCCAGCACCCTTTTACTCAAAAGAGGCACTGCAAACCCCTGCTCTTTGTCAGACACTGTGGGTCCCTGGAAATGTAGATTCATGACATCACCGTCCCTAAGTTTGGGGAGAAAGACACAGAACAGGGAACTGCATGTGGTTGGGCGAGGTGCGTCCGAGGGGGCCCTGTAGGAGCAAGCTCTCCCTGAGCCGACTGCCGGGACCCAAACCACCCCCGCGTCCCTCGGGCAGGAGAAGGTCCAGCTCCATGCAGGAGTCGCTTTACTGGAAAGGTAAGGGGAGAGAGGGAGCCAGGGACTGTGACTCCCCACATGATGGGGGGCCCACGGGGCCACGGGGCACAGCTCTGGAGGCTGAGAGCGCAGGCAAGCCCGGGCTGGCGAGGGGGGCTGCAGAAGGGTGGGGGTTCCAGCCTCCTGCAGGAGGGTGCCCAGCTGGAAGTGGGGGGCAGAGGTCACAGGAAGACCACCAGCTTCCACCCCGGACTCCACTGTTACCAACCCTCTCAGAGTCCAGCAAAGTGGGTGCTAGGACGTCCATACTTCACATGGGGAAACTGAGGCCCAGAGAAGCTGTCACGGACCCCAGGTCCTGCAGGCCGAAGTGTCTGAGCCAGGACTCAGTGCAGACTGTGAGGGCCCGGCGAAAATAAGCGGCCGAAACAGTGTCCTCTACTGCCCGTAGCTAGGGCGAAGCGGAGACTGGGTGTGAGCCGCGTTGGGACAAGGGGCGCCGCGTGAGCTGGTGGCACTGGGCTGGGCTGGGCCAGGTCTGAGAGCCGAGGCTGGGACCCGCTCCGCGTTGCCCCCCAGCCGGGGCCATAGCCGAGCTCCAGGACTCGGCCTTTTGTCTTGGGCCTGGGTGACATCTTGCGCACAGGTCAGGGGGCGACGTAGCAAATGGGCTCCCTCCGGATGAGACACGGGGGTTCAGAGCGGTTGAGGGGATCCCTGGGCCCCACGGCTGGTTCAGGGCAGGGTAGGCCTGGCCCCTCCCGCCTGCACTGGCTCCTGCCGGGGGCTGACCGGACCGCAGCCTGGGTCAAAGACCACCAGCTCCACGCAGTTCCGACTCCGTGAAGGAAGCTTCTTGGTGGTGTCTGGACGCGGCGCTTGGAGCACACGTCTGTCTGAGCGCCTGTGAGCCCCGGAGAGTCGCGGTTTCTGGATCAGTGTCCTCTGGCCATCCACAGCCGGGAGCCCTCCCATGGTGGCCGGGAGCCATCCGGGCCGGCCCAGGGCCCCGACACCTACCCGCATCTGCCCCTGCAGCCACCCGCCCAGCAAGCCCCACAGCAACGGGGACAAGATTTGCATAGCGTTTCCGGCTCACAGAGCACTGCTTGTCCTGTCCTCTGCGAAAGCTGCTCCAGACAGATGGAGAAAGGTCAGGGCTGGCCAAAGACACACTGTGGGAAGAGTCGAGACTCAAGCCGGTTTTTCAGACCGTGAGCTCTGGTCCTTGTCGGTCTGTCGCCTGCAGCCCAGATGTGGCTGCCCTCCTCCAGCCCAGGGACCCGGATTACATCCAGACTCACATGCATGTGAGGAAAGGCATCTGGAGGTTCTAGAACTACCCAGTCTGCAATGGAGAGGGTCAGCCGGCGGGGCCGGGCGATGGGGCCCCAGTGTCCTGAGAAGATGCTGCAGGTCTGCTCACGCCTGCACCCCTCCCCCGCCCCAGCCCAGAGGGGCTGCCTGTCCCTGGCCTGGAAGTGCACCCAGAGGCCCAGCCGACACTTCTCCAGGGGCCGAGTCACTTCTGAGCACCAAGAAACAGCAACCCCTCACCCACATCAGACTTGTATTTGACCGAGAGAGTGACTCCTTCCCAGCCTTCAGGGTCCAGTGGGGGTAACGGCCACACCACTGAGAAATATGGCTGCTGGTGGTATTTGGTGCGATGCGTGCGTGTGTGCGCAAGGGGACACGAGACGGGGCTGCCTCGGTGGGGGGGGCGGTCTGTGGCTCAAGCTCTGAAAGGCTCCAGCGAGAGACAGAAGGTACAGGGCTCTCACGGCGCAGCCATGAGGATGTGGACCAGGACTGCCCCCCAGATCGTGAGGCCATGTTCGCTTCGGGGACCCCCAAATGAAGATCCTGTCACACCGTTCTGAAGGCCCAGGGCAACCCCAGTTCCCTCTCTCATGGGGGTCCAAACCGGAAGGGAAGAGCCCTAGTGCCAGCACCTACCTGGACCTCCCGCGTGTGGTAGGCGATGATCAAACCCAAAAGGATGATGGTAGACAGACTGATAAGGCATTTCAGGGCCAACGAAAACATGGAATCCTGCCGGAGAAATGGAAAGAGAATTAGGACGGCCAGGAATGGGACCGGCCGCGGGGCTGTGCAAAGGGGAAGGGGGCTCAGGAGCATGGCCGGCAGGTCCTGCCTTGGGCTGGGCCTGGGGCCGCGGGGGCTGAGCACTCCCCCGCCCAGCCTTTGTTTTCTAGAGTTAAAGCCTACTTGCACTCCTGGGATGGAGGCTGCCTGGGCAGGAGGCATCACGTTTGCTCTCCGTGGCTCAGTTTGCGGATGGGTCGTTTAGAATTTTGCCTCCATGATCACAAGTCATATGAACATAATTCCTTTTTGTGCTGCTTTTCTCCGTTAGGCCTTCAATCTCCAGCCTGGGCCTCTCTCTGAACAAACCTGAACCAGAGGATTCCTGAGCTCCTTCCATCTCTGACCATGCAGGGTTTTCTCCAGCATGACGTAGAATGTCCTGGCAGGTGTTCTCACCCCCAAGGTTAGGTCAAGAGCAGGGAGGGAGGCAGGGTGGCAGAGAGCTGCTGGGGAGCAAAGAGGGGTCCCCCCTGCAGAGGGTGGGGCAGGCAGGGGTGCGCCCCCAGTGTTCACTGCATCTTCCAGCCCCAGGGCGGCGGCGAGAACCGCCAGGCAGCACGGCTCTGGATGCAGCCCCTTCCCGGCTGTGCGGCCTTTAGGCTGCCCACTCCACCTCTCTGTGCTGTGTGGCCTCAGGCTGCCCGCTCCACCTCTCTCTGCCTCAACTGTCTCATGTGTCCAGTGGGGGGAACACTAGTTCCCGCCTCCGAGGGCTGCCAGGAAAAATAAAGGCATCTGTGGGTGTAAAGTCCTAGACCCGCGCCTAGCCTGGGGAGGGTTAGCTACCTCGGTCATTCACTTCACATCCTCTGCAGAGTCAGGTTGTCCGGGCCGGGACATGGTGCCCTGCTGGGCATTTGGAAGCCAGGAAGTAGGGGTGACTCCGGTCCCAAGGGAAGACGGGAGCACAGCCCGAGCAGAGTAGCCGATGCGCCGGGCAGCACCTCCAAGCTCTCAGTCCCCAGAGACCCACGGCATGCCCGCAACAGCCCTGTGCTCACAACCGCCCCTGACTTCCCTTTTTTTTTTTAAAAAGATTTTATTTATTTATTTGAGAGAGAGAATGAGAGACAGCACAAGAGGGAAGAGGGTCAGAGGGAGAAGCAGACCCCCCGCCGAGCAGGGAGCCCGATGCGGGACTCGATCCAGGGACTCCAGGATCATGACCTGAGCCGAAGGCAGTCGCTTAACCGACTGAGCCACCCAGGC